CCAACATAGAGGATTGGAAAAAAAACAAATATAAATGTTTTCAGAAAGTCGTACTGAGTAAAATAAAATCAATAAAAGGTCTGCTGAGGCCTTCATTTGGCGTACAAAAAATAAAAAGACAAAAATATTTCCATGTCCTTTTTTATTTCAGTCTCACATCTAAAACAAAATGTACAGTGAGACAAATAATTCAGCGCACTCTGTGGCTCTTCTGGTGTGTTTTCAGATTACTACTTTGATTAAATTTTTTCCCACACTCGGAACACTCGAACGGCTTTTCTCCTGAGTGAATCCTCTGGTGTGTCTTCAGAGAACCACTTACACTAAACCTTTTTCCACACTCGGAACACTCGAACGGCTTTTCTCCTGAGTGAATCCTCTGGTGTGTCTTCAGATCACCACTTTTACTAAACCTTTTTCCACACTCGGAACACTCGAACGGCTTTTCTCCTGAGTGAACCCTCTGGTGTGTCTTCAGAGAACCCATTACACTAAACCTTTTTCCACACTCGGAACACTCGAACGGCTTTTCTCCTGAGTGAATCCTCTGGTGTGTCTTCAGATGATCACTTTTACCAAACCCTTTTCCACACTCGGAACACTCGAACGGCTTTTCTCCTGAGTGAACCCTCTGGTGTGTCTTCAGATGACCACTTTCACTAAACCTTTTTCCACACTCGGAACACTCGAACGGCTTTTCTCCTGAGTGAATCATCTGGTGTCTCTTCAGATGATCAGTTTTACCAAATCTTTTTCCACACTCGGAACACTCGAACGGCTTTTCTCCTGAGTGAATCCTCTGGTGTGTCTTCAGATGACCATTTTGACTAAACCTTTCCCCACACTCGGAACACTCGAACGGCTTTTCTCCTGAGTGAACCCTCTGGTGTGTCTTCAGAGAACCACTTACACTAAACCTTTTTCCACACTCGGAACACTCGAACGGCTTTTCTCCTGAGTGAATCATCTGGTGTGTCTTCAGAGAACCACTTACACTAAACCTTTTTCCACACTCGGAACACTCGAACGGCTTTTCTCCTGAGTGAATCATCTGGTGTCTCTTCCACTTAAACCTTTTTGAACACTCGAACGGCTTTCTCCTGAGTGAATCCTCTGGTGTGTCTTCAGATGACCAACTAAACCTTTCCACACTCGGAACACTCGAACGGCCTTTCGTCTGGTAGAATTCTTTGGGTTTCCTTCTGCTTATCACTGTCTGCAAATCTGTTCCTACTCTCAGAACACTCCAACAATTTTTTTCCACTGTGTATTAACACATGTTGATTTAGGATATCAGAACATTCACACTTGTAATCACAAACTGAACACTCAGTATTATATTCATCGGATGCTGGCGAACGCAGTGTCTCATGAGACGCCTTTTCCGGGAATTGCGGCGCCTCTTCTCGCAAACACTGCTTGGTTGAGCCACTACTGCTGCTGGTTCCTCGCGTGGAGCAAATTGGCGGCGTGTAAGTGTGAACACGCTTTCTGCACACTTTTAGATGACGCGTTAGATAATCTTTCGAGCTGTAGACTAAGCCACACCATTCACACTGCCGATCTAAAAACGTAAAACCTTCATTATATGTGTAAGTATTTATTTACATATATCATTTATACCATATATACACCATATATATACATGTGTGTATATGTATATGTATATATATATATATATACATACGCACACACGAGTGTATGCAAATGTGTATGTATGTATGCATGTATGTATATGTATGTATCTGTATATATAGATGTATATGTATATATATACATGTGTGTGTGTGTGTGTGTGTGTGTGTGTGTGCGTGTGTGTGTGTGTGTGTGTGTGTGTGTGTGTGTGTGTGTGTGTGTGTGTGTGTGTGTGTGCGTGTGCGTGTGTGTGTGCGTGTACGTGCGTTTATGTGTGTTCATATTTAAATACATTGATGTTATAGAAGTGCAGACTTACATATGTACACACATCTAATACATTATTTTATCCTTACAATATCAATTTATAGAATCTCAGTTGCAACAATTTCTGAATACATTTTCCCTTCACAATGGGAAATTAGGTTATGAAAATTGTATTTACGTACCTTTTACATCTTTCTTCGCTGGTTTCCACTTGGACGGCTCTCTTGACAGACCCAGATCCTTCCCGTAATCGTCTCCGTACCAGCACATCAACTCGCTCCCCCTGTTCACAATTATTTTGGCATTGTTTGTCTGTATCTTTAAATATTAATGTGCACGTTATCACAGGCGTATGATCAGGAAAAGTTGACTTCACTACAATTATACTGACCTGCTAATTGCAGAGTCCGTCTTGTAGTAGATCTGCCCCTTGTACTGAAATGTAGATAGGTTGGTCTCAGCTTCAGTTCTTGAACAGTTGACGTAACGCATCCAGTTACTAACTGCACTGTCTACAGCATCAATGCACGTATTCCTTGTTCCAGTACTCGAATCTGGAAGATACACGAAGGTGAAGAAATTTTCAACTTTTTGCGTAAGTAGATTTTCTCTTAAAATACTTGGTGGTTTACAGAAAACCACAAAAAAATCATTGTGTTACATTCATCTAATATATGTTTTACGCCACAGAATACACTAACCTTCCAGCCATAGCCAGATTCTTTACCGGCTTCCGGATGGCCAGATAGGACACGGCCCTCATACGGACCAAACACAAGATGGGCTGGGAGATGAGCATTGGTCCACACGCCTTTTCCTGCCCCCTTCACTTTCGAGTCGCAGACAGTGAGGGGCCAGGGGTTGTGAGGCGAGCACGATCTTTCTCGCTGCCGTCTCGAACAACCTGTCCAAACATGCCATTGGGACGATAACGCTATTTAAAACTGTGCGTGTGCATTTGTGTATCTAAGATTATCAGTTTTTTTTGTGACCAGTTCAATTTTCAATCTAACCAAAGTTATGAGAGCATGACATTTTATGTTGACATGAATGGCACACTTACGGGATTATCTAGAATAAGGAACAATGGATGGTACGGACACTCTCCCTCTTTCTCTTCTTCACAGTCTGCGCAATCTGCAGACAAAAAAGAATTCATGGTATCTGAATCTATCTACCTCATGTACAATCGTAAGTGCACAACTATTGTATATAATTTAATTAAGTGAAGTGAAATTAATCCAAGATTATAAAATCCACGCAACGACAACTAGGAAGATGACTCAAACGCTCTTTTCCTTACAAATAAAATCGTCATCTTTAGTAATGCTTTCTTCATAAAACAGCTTCCTTCTGCTACGACGTCGTGGGTACCGCGTCTTGGACTTCTCTCCGAAAAACAGCTGTTTCCCCGACCTTCTTCATCTGATCCTACACCAAGTGTTTCACTCTCAGCTGGAAGCTCTTTCACTGTTACCATCTCTGTATCTGTTGCCAACTGTGACATGGGAACTGAAAAGACCTCCTTGTCCTCTGGCTTAACATTTTCCGCAGCGGAATCTCCACTTGACCTGTCGGCTGTTGTTGGCATTATCTGGAAAATTCAAGAATATTTAAAGATCATTTCTTCATTTGTAATAAAGAATAAATATTTTAGAATGAGCTTGGCGACGCTGCAAATAATCAATAATTTTATATCATTTCTAAATAAACAGTTTTGACAATCCTGATATAATTGTTTAATTCTTATACACGAGAAGATATTGGTTATAGTCTGCACAACTACCCAGCGACAAAGTCGCACTAATAGTTAAAACTGTTTTGCAACATTTATGTTCCAGGACTCATGCATTTCTATGTCCAGACAGAAATAGAAGCGGACACGGAATCTGGATAAAAAAGGGAGAAGTGCATCACGCAAAAACAGACAAAGGCACGAAGACAAACCTTGACAGTGCCCTTTGCACCTGCCACCAACTTGGCTGGAGTCCATAACGGTATAACATCTACTTGGTCTACACTGAGCGGCGCATCATCGTAGTTCTCACTCCTTCGGTCCAAGCTGGAGCACTCCACTCTGCCTTCCTCTTAAGACCGCCTCTTCTTCCACCGCCCACGTGTCCACTTTTGATTGCATACCTGCAACAACAATTAATCTCCATTATATAAGCTTCCTAAAATGAGTGTGCACGCGTCCTCATTCCCTATGCCAGTGGAATCCTCGCCCTACCTGCTAGATCTCTCCTTCTCGGGCGTCCACTCGTCGTCTCCCTCGTCGTCGGGGACTCGAGGTGGCCTGGCTGTGGGCGCGACGAGCCCGTTGCGTCGCCTCCTCTGTTGTCGCACGACGAACTCCGGGACCTTGGGGTCCAGTCCTGAAAGTGCGCCGCAGTTGTTTAAGAGACTTTGGAGAGGAAATGTGTATGGGTCGGTGATGAAGGAAATCCCAGGATCCAGTGAAGCATTTTGGTAAAACCATGATTATAATATTTGAAACTGGAAGAATCTAAATGACTTTGTTTAGGAGTCTTTGCATTTTGCACAAGCGCATGCGCGCGTTTCAGATGTATATCTAGATGTCTGCGCATAAGATTTTGTGTGGGGAAGGGGGTATGTGTGCATATGAATGAAGAACAATAATTGCATAAATACCACATGTATTCACAACTACGATTTTCCAGGCAATGTATTTGCTAACCCTCCGCTTTCATAACCAACGAGTCTTACATGGATGAAAAGCCTTCGAGATCATCGTGTTTCCTTTACCTTCTCTTGGCTTACTCTCTACATTTCCTTTTGCACAATTTCTTCTGCCTCTCGGCGCTCCAACAAAAGCTAATACACCACCACTTTTTTCTACAAAGATGGAGCTCGTAAAGGGCATCGGGGGTTGAGTCCATGCAAATCACAGGCTAGTTTATTCCCCTGTAGCTATTAGCGTGTTAATGATTCTTACACCGTCGTTTCAGTCTTTTCTCAAGCGGTGGGAGGTGGGGGGGGGGTGAATGAAGTGAGCAATGCAAACCCAAACCAAAAAAAAATAAAACGAGCTATTCTGGGAGTATTATAAAGGGACTACCAGAGCAAATTTAGGCAAA